CAGCAATCTACTTTTCATGAAGCGAGGCATATGTGTGATATGTTTAATTTTGTTGCCATCTAAAAATTTGATGTAGAATGTTCACTTGCCTGGAATACTAAGAAACATTATGGTATTCAGAGTGGCAACAGGAAGTGGTTTCAAATTTAGAAAGTACGAGGATGAGAGAGAGAGGGAGCCACAGCTTGAATGAAGGCAAAGAGTAGAACAAAGCCCTGGTCATGGGAAAATGAGCAGGCTGACAAGATGAGTGAAGGATGAAGCCAGATGTAGAGGTTGCGGGGGGTGGGGGGCTGCCCAACTTAGGTATTATAAATAAGCACCATGTTTAGAGCTAAAGTATGGATTTATGAGCCCTGTCTTGAGACAGTATAATTCAGTGCATTGGTGTTTGAGGCCAGATATCAACACTTTTTCTAAGTCCTTGATAATTCTAAAAAGGATAGTCCATGGTTCACACTTTGAGAAATAGTACCAAAGAAGATGAGGCTATTTGTTGAAGGTCCCGTTTTGTGTAGAAAGGTTAATGTTAGAAATGTTGCAGAAAGATCAGTGTGATGGAGTGGCATGCCAGAGGCCAATATGAAAACTACTCATTAGTTCATCTATTTGATGAGAGCCTGGCCTGGTATGCTGACAGAAACATTAGAAAAGATGGAAAGGCTCTATGTAGAGGGCCGAGTCAACAGAATGAGATGATCCACACTATTAAATATGGGACAGAGAAGAGGGAGCTCACATACTAAGATATCACTGGAAAGGAAAACAATTTTAAAAGCAATGGATAGAACTTATATTGGATTCTTCCTTTCTTTGATTATTATTAGTCTAGGTTCTATTTAAGGTTCACTCATGAGTTAATACAACATTCTAGTTTCTATTTAAGGTTTATTCATGAGTTATTAGAAAGAAGATTTTATTTTTTTATTTGACAGACAGATATCACAAGTAGGCAGAGAGGCAGGCAGAGAGAGAGAGGAGAAAGCAGGCTCCCTGCTGAGCAGAGAGCCCTATGCGGGACTCGATCCCAGGACCCTGGGATCACGACCTGAGCTGAAGGCAGAGGTGCGCCCCCCCTTTTTTAAAAGAAGATTTTATTTATTTATTTGATAGAGATCACAAGTAGGCAAAGAGGCAGGCAGAGAGAGAGAGAGAGAGGCATGAGTTATTATAAAGATAAAGTGCCTGGGTTTGCATTCCACCTCCTACTAAAGTTGACTTGAGACAAGTTTGTTTACTTCACTGAACTCAACTTTCCTATCTGTAAATGGACTGTACCAACCTCATAGAATTATTGTGAGAATCAAGTGAGTACATTGCACTTTTTGCCTACCTTGTCTGGGTTGTAAATATCAGGGGAAAATGATCTATGGTGATTTATTTGTTCTTTGGTCTCAGAATCCTGTTTGCAGAATAAGAATTTTAATTTATTTGTACTTATTGCCTTATATTTCACAACACAGACTCTTTAACAGGAAGCACATATCTAAGTTTCTGAGGTTATTTTGAAAGAAATATTATATTAGTAGCCATAATATAACATACCTTCAGGACTCAGGTGCTTCTAATAGTAAACAAACTACTGGTTCTAGGCCAGAGCATTTCTAAGACCCTTTTTCTGCACCCATTGTGAATTCTGAATTCTTATTCCGATTGCTAGTTCATTCTTTCTCTGCATCAGAACAGAGACCAAGCAAGTGAATGGCTAAAAACTGCTTTTTCACCCTCCTTTAGAAATGAGGTTATCATTTTCAGGCTCAGTTCTGACTTTTTTGGGCTGTATGTTAGAGGACATGTATTTGCTAAATATTAAATATATTAATATTAAATAATATTAAATAAATATTAAAATGAACACAGAGGTATAGCTTTCCCAGAGGAAAGCTAAATCAATTTAACCATATTTATGGCTTAAAAAAGGGGAGATGATAAGTTTTGTCTTGCCAGTGTTGTGTGTGTGTGTGTGTGTGTGTGTGTGTGTGTGTGTGTGTTTTGTCTTGTCAATATTGTTTTTTAAGAAATAAAGATTCAGGGTGCTGGTGACTCAGTCAGTTAAGCGGCTGCTTTTGGCTCTGGTTATGATCCCAGGGTCCTGGGATGGAGCCCTGCGTCTTGCTCCCTTGCTCGGTGGGGAGTCTGCTTTTCCCTCCCTCTCTGTCTGCCACTCTGCCTACTTGTATTCTCTCTCTCTCTCTGTCAAATAAATAAATAAAATCTTAAAAAAAAAAAAAGAAAAAAGATTCAAACTGAAATAATTTCTACCAAAAACTCTCATTTTTTCCAACCATGAGATTGGAATTGTGATAGTAGTTCATCTCTTAAATTAAAAATGAACTTCTCCCTCTGTGTGACTGTAGCAATAGTTATGATGAGCTACACAGGGAACTTGGGTCAAAGACATATTGATTGTGGTTTTGGAAAGCTACTTTCATTGCTGCCTGGGTGGTGAAAAGAAAGGATATCAATGTGTATGTGTTAAGCCTTAGAGAACCTGGAAGTATTTTGAGCTTGGCAAAATTGAATTTCACATTGAGATGTTTTGTTTAGCAAAACTCAAAACATATTTGGAAGATTGCTTTCTTCCCTAAGTTTATACCTCTGGGAATTTTAAGCAATATGTTAATTTCTGATTCATCTCCAGTATTTTATGAGAGATTTTTGATAACCATGGGACCTTCTTCTTTGAACCTGGAAATATTGCCTTGCCAATATTAAATTGTATTCTAGTCCAGAAAGCTTGAATTTGGTTTAAAAATTTTAATTTATGCCCTAATGGTTGGCCAAATATCGTCAGTCATTCCCAACATGTTTGTGTTTAATTATATGGAAATGCTTAACTAGTCTATCTTATCATTACATATGTTGTTTTACCTTTATTATTGTGTTTCAGTGGAGATTCATTTAGAAAGAGTTCAGGACCCTAACACATTAAGTATCAAGACTGTCTATAACTTTTATTTGGTAGAGTTGGCATGCATAACATTGTAAGTATTTATATGTACACACATTAAAAAAATGTTGCGTGTATGTTGCCTATATTCAGAGAGCCTCCAAATTCAACTCTCTGGCTCTAAGCCAAATTCTGAGAAAAATATATGGAAAATATCCTCAAATGGATATGTTATGATAGCAGAGAGTGTCATAAAAATTTTTTTGTTATTATTTTACAGATGACCTAACAGAAATTACGTGGTGTCTGCTTTTTACTTCCTTTCATGGGTGTGTGGCATTCTTGATGTCATGAAAATAAACTATGGAGCACAAGTTCAGAATTATTAATCACTGCACTTTTAGAAGGACATTTTTATATTAAAATGTTCAAAATATTAACTGATTCTTTGAAGAATCTTGTTATTTTATTATCATTAGGGCACATTCTTATCATATAAAGTTTATGAGAAGTTGTTATTCCTAGCTAGAGTTTTACTCTGTGTAATGTTGTATGTATAATTTCACAGGAATCTACAGTTCCCACACAAATTTTCATCCTGTGTAACTCCAAGGGAATTCATTAACTTAAATATGCAAGCTAGGAAAGATTCTGAATGTCTCATTACTTCATAAGATGTAAACATTGAAGTTTTAATGAGTGTTCTAAGGCCAAATAAGACCACTTTTTTGAATAAAAAATGAAATAAAAAAATTTTAGTCCCTGATTTTGCCCATTGGTGTTTGTAATTTATCAGATAAATTTATATTTGTTGACTACTTTTGTGCTTAGAGATGCTCTATACTAGAAGTGAAATATTCTAAAAATACTGTAAATATTGCCATTTCTTTAAGGAATTTCCTTTCTGTGATTTCTAAATGTACAAATGAAGGGACAAAAACATACACATTCGTGATGGTTTTGGACATGATCCAGTGGGAATTTACTACTGTGGATTCTACAGTAACAGAAATAAGACTACATACAGTATTCTTAAGCAGTTGACTTCTTTGAGACATTTCAAGTATATTAGAGAATATTACTTTTCATGTTCAATCTTTGTTTCCTCCTTGTAAGTGAAAGCTGTAGGAGGAGGTTTGGTTTAAACCTTTTTTCTTCATAGGAGGCACAAGAACACCATCATTTAAAATAGACATTATTCTGGGGCGCCTGGGTGGCTCAGTGGGTTAAAGCCTCTGCCTTTGGCTCAGGTCATGATCCCAGAGTCCTGGGATTGAGCAGAGTCCTGGGATGGAGCCCCACATCGGGCTCTCTTCTCAGCAGGGAGCCTGCTTCCTCCTCTCTCTCTGCCTGTTTCTCTGCCTACTTGTGATCTCCGTCTGTCAAATAAATAAATAAAATCTTAAAAAAAATAGACATTATTCGTTTGACCCATGTATGTGTGGAAACTAAGAATACGTACATTTGCTTTTTAAAAATAAAGATTTTATTTATTTATTTGACAGACACACAGAGAGAGAGAACAAGTAGGGGGAGCAGCAGGCAGAAAGAGAGGGAGAAGCAGCCTCCCCACTGAGCAGGGATCCTGATGTAGGACTCAATCCCAGGACTCTGGGATCATGACCTGAGCCAAAGGCAGACACTTAACTGACTGAGCCATCCAGGAGATAATGGTACTGACCTTTGATTTTTTTTTTTTTTTTAACCAATTCAAATGTACTATTCTGGAGTATGCTTCTTGGAAATGAAATGAATACATTATTTAAGTGACTATCATTGCCCTGTTTTGAAGAATACAATATATATAAAATTGAATGGGTTCACTGGTGATCCAATAACTACCATATGCAACAGAAATTGGGATTTTTGAGATTTTTTTCTTTCCTATCCAATATCTCACCCTATGGGTTGTCAATATTAGATTGCCCTTGGCTAGTCTAGGTGAATTATCTAGTGCTGTCCCATACCCACATGGCTATGTATATTAAGCCACTACTTCCTATACCTTCTCAGGCCATGGCTGCTGTATTAACAATCAAAATTGGTCAAGAAAGTGTTATGAGGTGCCTAAGAGGATTACTTTCTGTCAAACATATTTCCCCATTCCCAGGTGTGCAGCAGCAGCCCCAGTTCCTGATGGTCAAGATCCGTTACACTGTCAGGATGGTGACACTTTATCTTACCTGCTGGTCCCTTGGCACAAAAAGCTGAAAGTACTCAAGTACTGTCATAGTTTAAGGTTCAGTTGTCTTGTCATTGGTAGAAGAGCTTCATTTATGCGAACCAGGGTATCTAAATGCTCAGAGTCTGAGCTGTGAGGATGGGGATAACTGAGAGTGATGGTTATAGGGCCATTTCTGTATCTCTTTCTTGGCTGTGTGTGTGTTTGAGAGAGAGAGAGAGAGAGAGAGGCTGGCCCACACTCAGCTGCCAAGAATTTGTTAGTTTTATATGTTTTCTTATTATTCAATTTTAAGAGCTATATCTTCCTTTCATGCTCTAACAGTCCTCAAAATGTCTGGGTATGATTATTTAATGAAATAGACGTAGGCTTCTGTGGAAGGACTGGAGAATCATTATTATATATTTTTTATGGCATTAAAGTGTTATTTCTGTTGGAACCATGATTCCTTCATATATATATATATATATATATATATATGTATATATATATGTATACATATATATATATATACACACACACATATATATATATGTATATATATATATACACACACACACTTATGGATTCCAGGTCTGAAAACTGACTTATATCCTGGAGCTCTAGATATTTTTGGGGGAGGTGGAAGGTAACCAGTCTTAATCTCTGATCATCCAGCTTCCACATTTTTGATTGAATAATATCCTTTGTTGGTGGTCGATCTGTTTTACCCCTTGGATGCCATGTCCTATTAACTCTCTTTCAGGGTCAGCGTTCCTGTCTGGGACTACAAGCTTGCCATGCACTATGATAGTTGCCTCTACCTGGCTTGTGGTAATGGAGTGTTGTCTTGTGATCTCTGCTTTTTTTTTTTTTTTTTTTAAATTCTGTCTTACCTGTTCTTACAGAGCCCAGTTCTGTAACACCATTTTCTGCCATCAGTCTTGGCTTTTAGAGGATTATCACTTCTTAGGGATGCTGTTCTTTCTTTTTTCAGTGTGTTCCTTATTAGCCTTGGTAAATGGTGACTCTTCAGGGCCCTTCTATATAATATAGTCACCTGGCGGGCTTTCTGGCTGAATATTGTATATCCATTGAAGTATACCTACTTCTTTGAGCCTTTTAATCTCTCTGACATGCCCTTTCTGGCATTTCTTTCTTTCTTAAGGTAGTTGAGTGTTTTATCCTAATAGCATGTTTGCATTATCTTTGGTGTCCTTTCAATGGTATTAAAACTCATAACACAGGATTTTGCTTCCAAGTGAATAAACTTTCTCTTATATAATTTTATGTCCACACTTAGATTGGGTCCTGGAGTGATCTCTGGACTCCTCCAAGTACAAGCTGACAAGGCTCTGTAAGTTCCTTTGGACACAGTCCTTTCCTGTTTTTGGGCCCAGCTCATCCTGGTCAGGTTATATTGTGATTTAACCTTAGTTATTGGGTTAGCAGCCAGAAAAGGAGGTGCAGGCAGATCCTGAGTAGTGCATGTTGTCTTTTGGGAGACGACCACTACCTTATCTTGAAACAAAGGAAGAGTACTAGTCCTAAAAAGATGGAGTAAGCCATGTCTTCAGACTTAAAAGTTTCAGATACATCTTGAGGTTCACAATTTTCAGGTGCCTCACCTCATACTTTTCATCCCATGTGTCAGTACCATTATCTCCTAAGTAGAACCTAACTTCGGCATAGCTGACCCATGGAGATGGCGAGGATAGCCCTCCTTTAAAGTTCTATAACTCTTAGGATTGGGCTTTGGACCTTGTTTTTCATTTTCTCTGCTCTCTGGCTGTAGAGGATGAGAACTGATGCTATGAGGATCCATCAGAATCCTAAGTTAGGTCGAGGAGACTGTACCTTTACAGCATACTCCTCTACTACTCTTCGGATGCTGGCTTCTTATACGAAGTAGGTTTGGCTATATGGATTTTGCACCTTTTTCAGCCAAGAGAGCTAATAGCTGAAGTTTTTCAGTGAAAACATTTCCAGGATCTGGAAATCAGTTATTCAAATAAGAATGTGAAGTGTGGGTAGCCCATCAAAGCATCAACTAAAAAACACTATGGAAAGACTCTAGTAGAGGTACTCCTCTCCATATTTATAGGGGCAGTGCAGACAGGGAACATCTAGGTTACAGGACATAAAATAAAATCTACCCTTAAATATAATAGCATGTCCAGACATATTTACAAATAATTTCTGCCAGGGTGCCTGTGTTGTTCACCTGGTTGTGTCTGCTTTTGGCTCAGGTTATGATCCTAGGGTCCTGGGATCAAGTCCCATATCAGGCTCCCTGCTCAGTGAGGAGTCTGCTTTTCCCTCTGCCCTTCCCTCCCACTTATTCCCCGCTCTTTCAAATAAAGAAATAAATAAAATCTTAAAAAATTTCTGCCAATTTAAGGAACAAGTGATCCCATTCTTACACATATTTTGTGACTAACTAGGAAAGAAATAATATCTGCCAGCTCATTTATAAGGTTGGTATAACTTTGATTCTAATGCTAGACAATACAAGCAAAGGTAGAAATATTATGGGCTAATTTCTTTTATAAATCTAAGTGCTAGAATCCAAAATAGGAACATAAGGGGCTTCTCTAACCTGACAAAGTATCTGTCAAAACCTAAAAGCATAGTCAATTTTAAAATATTAGAAGGCTTGTATTTAAAAGTTGTAAGACAGGTGTTCCTGTTATCACCGTTTTTTTTCAATATTAAGATTTTAAGAATTATGTAAAACAAAGTTTACACACATGCAAACACTAGAACTGTAAAGAATGAATATCATTTATTACTTTCAGATGATAGAATTGTCTTCATAAGCAATGCAAGAGATCTGTTGGTGTCAATGGAAATATCTAACATATCTGATGAATAGGAGATAAAAATATAAAAATTATTTTCTTATATACAAAGAACACTTAGAAAATATTATTTAAGATGTTAGTATTTATTATAGCAACAAAATATGAAAGTTTACCTAGAAATAATTTCAACAAGGCATGTACAAGACCTTTATGATGAAAAGTTATAGCTTTATGGGAAGGTGTACTTAAAACCCAAAATAAGCTGAAATATGATAATAAGTGCGAAACTTAAATATCTTTAAAATGAAAAATTTTTCTGTATTAATTTATAGGATCAATACAATTCTTATCAATACTTCAACAGGATTTTTCTTGTAGCTTGACTATCTGCTTTTGAAATTCATATGGAAAATCATATTGCTGAAAAGAACTGAGAACATTTTGAAAACTCAGGACAGTAGTCCTATTAGATATAAAGACTCATCATAAAGAGATTGTCATCAGTACAGTACGGTATTACAGACCGATATACTAGTGAAAGACAATAGAGGGCCTAGATATATGACATGTTTATGAGAAGAGTGGCAAATACCTGCAGGTATTTGGAGAAAGGATGAGGCTGGGAAAATTAGTTATACATATAGAAGAAGAGAAATTTAATTTTTTAAAAAAGATTTTATTTATTTATTTGACAGAGAGAGATCACAAGTAGGCAGAGAGGCAGGCAGAGAGAGGGGAAGGAAGCAGGCTCTATGCTGAGCAGAGAGCCCGATGCGGGGCTCAATCCCAGGACTCTGAGATCCTGACCTGAGATGAAGGCAGAGGCTTAACCCACTGAGTCACCCAGGCACCTGAGAAATTTAATTTTTATCTATCACAAAAGAAAAAGCAGTTCAATGTAGACTAAAGACATATGTGTGAAAAGAAGATTTTAGTATTTTAAAGAAATTATTTATGTGACCTCAAAAAAAGATGTGCTGCTTAAATATGACTTGAAAGCACAAAATATAAAGGAAATGGGTTATACAATTTATTGTGTTAAAATTACTTGCATTTATTTTAATCGAGTACATTGAATAAACTATAATCGGCATCCACTATAAACCAGAAACTATCGTAATGAGAGAAAATTGCAATCAAGAGTACATAAGAAGAACCTACAGTCAATAAGCATAGGACAAACCTTCCAAAGGAAAACATCACAAAGAGCAGGGAACAGCCCATTCTCAAAAGAGAAAGCCTTTTGAAAATGCATATATCAATACTTAGCCATACTAGTTATCAAGCAATGTGTTTTTAAAAATTTATTTCTCTTTATGCATACATTTGGAAAAAAATGAACTGATATCCTAGTGTCCTTCAAAGGTGATCAATTTTTTTTTAGCGTTATGAACTAATGGACTCACTGTTCAATATGATCGTTGATTATCCTTATCAATGTTCAAATTGTCTCAATTTTGGCCGGTGGAAGCTTGTTCAGTTGTTCCTGAATCCTTTATCATGACCCTTTTATCTTTGGTAGCTTCATTGCTCTCTGGTTTATAGCATAATCCAGGCTCATCTTACTCACTTCCTAACTAAAATTTAGAATCAGTCATTTGTTTCAAAGAATTCTGATTTCTTTACTGGGAACTTTTCCTGGGTGCTAGTGTTTATTATCATTGTGTTGGTCATTCATTTTTTTTCCCCACTCTAGACATTAGTGGTCACAACTGGGAAATATGTGATATATTGTTCTTATAATGTTTAACAATTATGAGACAACTTTATTATTAATTTATTGAACTTCTCTTTTGTCTTGATACTGTGCTAGGTATTGGGAATTCAAAAATAAATAAGGCAAAAATCTCTTTCCTTAGGGATTAATAATTTAGCACATCACAGCATGGTGACTTTTAACAGTATTATATTGTATGGTGAAAGTTGCTAAAAGAGTATGTTTTTAAAAGTTCTCACAACACACACAAAATTTATAGCTATATGAGATGATGCATGTGTTAACATATATAAAATTACTACATTGTACACAAACTACACAGTTTTATATACAGTCAGTGATATTTCAATAAAGCAGGAAAAATAATTTAGTATATCAGGTAGGTTCTTTTAACAACCATTTCAAGACAACTCTAAATTGACTAGTTAGCCTTCTATTTTTCCATTTTACCGTTAAAAAAAATTGGTAGGCTTAGTGCCTGAGGGTCATTTTGCATCATTGCAAGGAACATTAAAAATAGATAAAACTCCCAGAATTAGTCACACCGCCCTAGTAGCTGCTCACAGTATCAGTTTTCCCAGTTCTACACCTTTAGCTTTAACTCGCTGAGTATCTCTGAATGACAGTCCATCATTACAGTTGGCTGCATACTTAAATTACTTTTACTTTTTTCTCCCAAACTGTAGCTCTAATAGTCATTCATTTGCTACTTCATGAGAGATCACTAATGAAATTCACGAAAAAAAATGGATTTTAAGCATTAGTTTTCAAACATATTAATCCTTTCAGAGGGTTTCTTTAAGACCCTTTTAAAATTCCTTTTTTATTTTTTAGAGATTGGTTTATTTTATAAGGCTCCAACAACTTTTAAAAAATATATACGTTTCTTTATTTATACCACTGGATTTTTTTGGTCAATGCTGAATATATAATTTTTGTTCACGATATGTATTTGGCAGTTTTTTAAGTGCTTGTAATTTATTCTTTTTTAAAAAACTTATCTCATCAGTAATACTACAGACAGATTGGAGATTTAATGCCCAAATTTCTAATTATATCTATTAGCTAAAATTTATACTTGTTTTAAATATTTAAGTTTAAAAAATGATATAATTAAGGAAATGTTTTCCTGGCATTTATAAAGATTCTGTTTACCTAATGTGCATGGATTTCTGTTTGTATTTCAACATCTGTTTTCTTTTACTTTATTATCTCAAACAAGGCTTGAAACATTACAGGCAGATTACTCAGTAACATTAATATTGCAGCTCGGTAAGCAGAGTCTTAGGTGAGTTTATCTTTTTCCATACACA